CCTTAATTTCTCTTTCCGATACTTCATTATTAATGCAAAGAATGCAGCAGATTTCTGTGTATTAACCTTGTATCCTGCTACCTTGCTGAATTCATGTATTAGTTCTAATGCTTCTTGTGTGGGGACTTTAGGGTTCTCTGTGTAGAGTATTATGTCATCATCAAATACTGAGTTCTACCTCTTCCCTTCCAATCTGGGTACCCCTTGTGTCTTTTTCGTGTCTGACTGCTGTGGCTAGGACTTCCAATGCTGTGTTGAATAGAAGTGGTGAGAGTGGGCGTCCTTGTCTTGTTCCTGAACTTAGAAGGCTTTCAGCTTTTCACCATTGAGTCTGATGTTGGTTGTCGGCTTGTTGTAAATGGCCGTTATTATGTTGAGACCTGCTCCCTCTATACACACTTTGATGAGTTTTTATCATGAACGGATGTTGAATTTTTTCAAATGCTTTTTTTGTGTCTGTTGAGATGATCACATGGTTTTTGTCTTTTCCTTTCGTTAATGTGGTATATATCACACTGATTTGTGCATGTTGAACCACTGTGATCCTGGAATGAATCCAGCTTGGTGATGGTGTATGATCTTTTTTATGTATTGTTAGAGTCAGTTTGCTAATAATTTAAGGATTTTTGCATCTGTATTCTTCAAAGATATTGGCTTATAATTTTCTTTTTTCGTGGTGTCTTTGTTTGGATTTGGTATCGGGAATGGTGGCCTCGAAGGATGATTTAGTAGTGTTCTTTCAGTTATTTTGGAAGAGTTTGAGAAGGATAGATTTAAGTTCTTCTTTATGTGTTTGGTAGGATGCCCCAGTGAAGCCATCTGATCCTGGACTTTTGTTTGCAGGGAGTATTTTTTTTAAATTACAGATTCTAATTCACTTCTAGGGATCAGTCTGTTCAAATTATCTATTACTTCTTGACTGAATCATGGCAGGCTACATGTTTCTAGAAATTTGTCCCCTTTTTTCTAGATTGTCCAGTTTATTTGGGATGTAACTGTTCATAATGCTCTCATGATTTTTTTTTTTATCTCTGTGGTATTGGTTGTTATTTCTCCTCTCTTTTCTTACTGTTTATTTGGGTCTTTGTTTCTTGGTGAGCCTGGCTAAAAGTGTGTCAATTTTTTTTATCTTTTCAAAAAACTAACTCTTGTTTACATTGTTTTAAATCTCTATTATTTCCTCTCTGATCTTTATGACTTCCTCCTTGTGCTGACTCTGGGCTTTGTTCTTCTTTTCCTAATTCTTTTAGGCAACAGGTTACGTTGTTTATTTGAGACCTTTCTTGTTTCTTAAGGAAGGCCTGTGTCATTATGACCTTCCCTTTTAGAACTGCTTTTGCTGTACTCCATAGATTTTGTGCATTTGTGTTTTCATTTTGTTTGTCTCAAGGTATTTTCTGAAATCATCTTTGATTCCATCATTGACCCACTGGTTTCTAGTAGCATGTTGTTTAGTCTCCATGTATTCATTCTTTTCCCATTTATCTTTCTGTAGTTGATTTCTAATTTCATACTGTTGTGGTCAGAAAAGATACTTGAGATAAATTCTATTCTTCGGTAGATTGTGTGTAATATTTTTGGTGAGAGGGTTGGGTTTGATATGGATGCCAGCCACATCTTTCCTTAGGGTGTGCTGGCTGTTATCCCCTTTGCTAGAGGGTGTGGTTGGTGTTGGAGGGTCTAAAGCCTGTGCCCGGTGTGAGGTGGGACCTCCTCTCTGTTCTGTGGCTGTCACTGCCCTGTCAGGGGCGGGGTCTTCTCCCCAGTTGTAGGAATAGAGCCATGAGGGTCAATCAGGCTCTGTTCTCCTAGAGTGCATGTCCTGCCCCAAAGGAGGTGATTGCTAAATTAAATGAGGCCCATGCACTCAGTGCTCTGATGTGCTGCCTGTGTAGGCCTCTTCAGCTGCACTCGAAGGCAACCCAAGGTCACATCCCATCCCTTCCTCTGTTGTGTTCATTCCAGATCCAGTGCAAGGTTATGGTTTGGAGTAGGTGGGGCCCGGGCATCCGCTAGGCGGGAACTAGGGGTTGGGGTATCGTGGTTGCAGGAATTGAGGTGGCTGAGCTGCCGCCAGAGATCTGGGCTGCCTCTGGCAGACTTCTCCCAGGACCTGTCTGCCCCAGATCCAGTGCTAAACTGCAGTGTGGAGTGGGCGGGCTAGGAGACTAACTGTGGCATGCCCCTGGACACCACCCAAGCAGACACTGCCAGTGAGCACCACCGCCCCACCCAGATCACACCCCAGCCCTCAGTCTCTTGGTATAACTACGAAGTATTTTCCCAGGGTCGGCTGGCCCAGGTCTCATGCTAAGCTCTGGGGTGGAGTGAGAAGTGCTGGGGTGTCTGCCTGATTCAGACTGGGGAGAGGAGCAGGCTGCAGCCGCCAGTCTAAAGGCTCTCTCTGCCCTGAAATGTTGGCAAGCCAGCACACACCCATTCCTCAGCAGGGTCTGGGCTTCTCCAGCCCTTCTAGCCGTCCCAGCAATTCTCCCAGTGTCCACCAGCACTTAGCTATTACCTGCTGTTCCCCAGAACTAAGATGCCCAGACTGTGGTTCAACCTCCTTGCTCCCCCAGGGGTGGGGGGCACCTTTCAGGTCCTCTCAGGGGCAGGGGGACCAGCCCCATGCCTTTTTCAGTCCTACCCAGTTATGTGGAGATCTTGTAGCTCTGGTTGTACAGGAGTCTGGCCAGTTTCCAGTTAAGTTTTCTGTGAGAACTGTTCCACATGTAGGTGTATTTTTGATGTGTTGGTTGGGGGAGGTGAGCTCCCCGTCCTCCTGCTCCACAATCTTGATCCCTCCTCTGGAAAACACAGTTTGTAATTGCCTGTAAGAGTTCAAAACCTGGAAGGAGACCTTAAAAACACAAGGTTACCAACTTCAGTCCTGAATATAGAATTAATTTTTTTCTTTTCAAATAATCAATCAGATGACATTTATGTAAAACTAAAATTGTATTATTCCCCAGGGCATCAGCATCACCATCCACCCCTCAGGCTTTTTATCTTCAGGTTCAAAACAATCCCTGGCAACTGAATGATCTTGCAATGGGTGTGTGCTTATTTAGATCTCATGGGGCCAAAGCAAACTGATAACGTGCTTTTCTCACAACTATCCACATTATCTGTTTATAAACAGCCTTATTTAATTTGAACTGAATTTGCAAACGTGGACCATTCCTTAAACATAGGTCGAATTGGTTCACTTCATTCTTGACTCTGATCCTAAGAATGATGTACATCTTCCCTAGGCATGGAAAGGAGAGGAAAAAAATCAGTTGATCAATGTAACAAAAACTCTCCCCAGTGAGTTCCCAATAAAGAATAGACAAAACATCAAACACCAATAGTGCCAAAGTATTTACTGAAAGTTTTCAAATCTTTCAAAAATGTTACAAAAAGCAAGCAAACACAGTGAAACTTTGATAAATTAGACATTAAAAACTAACATCTGGATAAGTCTACGCAGGTGTGTAGAAGGAAAGGGAAGATCTGTGAGCATTAACTACGACTAAAGCACTGGAGTAGGCTCTTTTACATGTATCTTACTTGATCCCATTCAGGAAAAGTTACCCCAGACTTAGAAATTATGGCAAAAAAAAAAAGTGTGATCCATTAAGCCCACCCAAATGCCATCTGACTCTCCTGAGAAATAAAACCTTGACTAGTAATTCAGCAAGGGCCAGATTAAAGACTCTTTAAAGTAGGAGGCTGATCTGTAAAAAATTTATAAGGCATGATGGTGATATATTTTGGCTTTCTGATAGAGAAATTTACCTCCAAGGTTATAGTTTTATTTCCCTTTAGGAAACTAACCAGTTTTATATCTTACTTTGCAATCTCATTTCATCAAGGCCTGTCCCACTGATGACTTAAATTTTAGTTCTTCACATTTTTTATTTTCAAATTGCTCTGTTACTCTGATGATCAGTTAAATGAAGCTTAACCCATCATCTATTCACATGAGCATTACATTTTTAATGATTTAAGAATTTGTGCTTTGACAATCCTCAAATAACCACACGAGGTAGACAGTATATCCTCATCTTACAGAGGAAGAAACTGAGTCTCAGAGGAGGCACATTACCTGCCCAAGGTGACAGAGGTAAGACGTGCCAGAGCTGGAGTCTGAGCACAAATCTGCCTGAATTCTTTTACAGAAACTATACTGGTGAGTCACATGTGGACTGAAATTTGGACTGAAACATCTCCTCCCAAAATCAACCTCATACATTTGAATTGTAAATATTTCAACCTTATATGAAAATGAATATATGCATGTATATGCATGACTGAGACATTGTGCTGTACACTAGAGACTGACACATTGTAATTGACTGTACTTCAATTTAAAAATAATTCAACCTTATAGGTTTGAATTATAAATATGACAGCTAAATATCAAAAGCAGCTAACTCTGAATGACCCAAACCTGCATATTTAAATAGTAATTAAAGAGATTATTAATTGGTTTGGTTTCAAATCTAAACTTTTAAAAATTGGAAATGTTGAAGGTATTTGCACATATACCACATGGAATATTATCATCAAACTGTGAAATTCCAGTGCTTTGCTGATTCCATTAATAGTCCTGGATGACACAGAGCAAATAACTGCTGAGGCTGTGATCAAAGTCACTGAAAAGTATTTAGAATACTTTGACATTACATGAACATGTCCCTGAGAATTTTTTAAATAAATTTAACCAAAAAATCAGCCTATTCCACTGTAAAGATGCTCGGTCTACTTTGTCGCTAGAGGAGTGGAGAAATGAGGAACACTAACCTGCTTTTCTGTTCTTCAGGCATGAAGGTGATTTGCTGTCCTGGCTAAGCACACAGGGAGAGGTCAAGACTGGAGAGCGACAAGCTGCTGTAAGTCTGAAAGCACCTTGGTCCACATTTTAAATCTTAAAGTGTCCCTTGGGAATGACTGATCTTACGTATATGTGTTCATCTGTCACAAGGATGCTTTTCAGCTGGGATATATATCTTCTGAACGCATGCTTTTACCCACCTGAAGATCCATTCTCTGGAGATGCAGATTTACAAGTTTTCCTCCATAAAAAGATTGTAAAAATCAGACCAGCTGGTATTTAGGTTGATAAAAACCTGTGCTGGTATTGTGAGGGTTCTGTCCACCAACTCACGCATCAGTGACCTCTGGCCTGATTTTCAGCAGAGTACGCCTCTACTGGATGGGCACTCGCCACTGTCTGCCAGATTTAGGTGAAGTCAGGCCACCTGCCCCACCCTTCGCCCCTAATCCCACTCTGGGGAGGCAGCTAAATTTCAGCTGCAGCTGAAGTGAAAAGATAACTGTGTGGTTCAGATTCATCTTGACTCACAGCTTCACTGTTTCATCCTGGCTAAAGCTGATCACTGTGTCTGTGGTTTTCTTACACAAATTTTCAATCCAGCTAGTGCTGTTAGCCGGTGTCTTTTCCAACCCTGATGTGGGGGGTGGATTTTTAGCTCGCATATTTTTTCCAGATGTGATAAGCTCTCCATAGCCCTCTTGGTGAGCGAAAGCATATCCAGATCTTCTTGAGCTTGATCTCCGGGTCTGAGGCTTTCGGCTATGCCGGGGCCTGGCCTTCTTTTGAGCCTTCTGCCACTGGCGGATCTGGAGACAAAGGAGACCCAGAGTGAGATGAGGCATCCGAATGGGAGGCTCCATGCAGAGGCCGCTTTGCAAAGTGCAAGCCTTTTTGGTAAAAGCGACATCAACGGTTACAAAGTACTCAGCTTCGGTGCAAGTTTTTCACCAAGAAACTGTCCGTGCAAAAGAGGACTGGATGCTGGTCTGACCATTTCTACTGACACACTTAGGCAGGAAGTGTTTGAGACAAATTTCATGATTGTCTCTGTCTCATATATCCATCTTAAATGAATAGAAACATACTTTTGCACAGAAAGATTTTCTAACAGGCACCACCCAAAGTGTAACAATTTACAGTCCCGTTCCCCGCCAATGAGCCTTTCCCCTCTCTTTCAGAGGTTCTTGGGATCTGATGATCCATTAGTATCTGGACTAGGAGAATATTTAGAAAATGAGAGTAAGAAATTTCCAACTCTTGTGGCTGGTCAAAGTACCAGGAGACTTTCAGGGATTTTATTTCTTTGGGGACTTCTTGTGGTCTTTTGAAGAGCTCAACCTCACTTGCATGGGTTTCCAGCATTTCTTTCCTTTCCCTGTAACGCTGAGGAGAAAAAAAGATGGAAGGTTTGGTGCGAGGCACCTTTCTCTCTAAGTCAGCTGATCGCTTGGACTCTGACTTTGACGGCAGGAGAAAGCCATTAAGCAGAAAATCATGATCTGACTAAACCTAGGAAGAAATGAGCAGCGTCTTCCTTCCTTCAGCTCATCCATCATTTTCTGAGTTTACATGAGAATGAGCTCACAGAGCCAAATGGAAAGGACAAACATCACAGGGGAATCCATGAATCATTTCAGAGGGAATCTGTTTGTACTTTGGCTCCAAAATGTGAAGGATTTTACGATAAGGAAATTTTTACCTCACGTCTTCTCAGCATCATCAGCCTGGTCACTCAGCCCCTCAGTATTTACCCCTTCTCATGATGTGGCTACAAATGTGTGTCTCCTCCTTCCTTCTCCTTTTCTCTTGTTACCTGCATCCAGATCTTTCTTGACAGTGTCTTGCTTATATCCCTTTTCCCACAAAATATTAAATTATGTTTTGTTAATCCCTTAGTTTAGGTATTTCTATAATCTGTTCTGTTTTTCTTTTTTTTTCCAATCTAGCTATCATGTTGCTGTTCCCTTTCTTAATCTGTTCCGAAAGTACCATCTCCCCCACATTTAACAATCTGCTACCATATTCCTACAAAAGCTTAGAGCCCGCTCACCTCATCCCTTGCCTGTCTCTGTAACTGTTCCCTTTACTTTCCGCAAGTCAGTACCTTTCCCTCTAGCTTGCCTTCGCCTTAGAGCAAAATGCTGCCAATCAGCTTCTATTTTGAAAGTCAACTTCTAAAAATATCCAATTTAACTGGCACTTCAGGACTCCCCACCCACTTTCAGTGAAGACATTTATCTTCACTGGCACCCCCAGGGCTAGTACACGCCTATACGGGCAATTCCATCTTGTGTGATGTGATGCTGTGCACCTGGAGGTGTTTGCCGCTGAGAAATCCGTTAGCCATTCCCTGGACCTCCAACCGGCACCAGACGTGATTCCAAGAGCAAAGTACCAGCTCCTCCAGGGCTCAACAGCACTGCAACGTACCTGATCACTCACAGTTGGGAATAAATCCACCTTCAAAAACCTGTATGCCACCACAGGCATAACTGAAGCCACTGTTGTTAAGAGAATAACAAGCCAGATGCACTTCTGGGTCAAGGAATGTCGTGCATTGCCTATTATTAAAGAAAAATATACACTGTGGTTATAAATAGGCCAGAATTATTGAATAAATTGACTCTATTCCTATAAGACCTTTTTTGAAATGGTGAGGTTTGGATGAACCTAGAGAGACCCACTGGGTATCTTCCCCAGGATACAGGCTGTTCAGTGGTGATGAGAAGAAGGCAAGAAAGGTCAGATCACCCTTGGGAACTGCTTCGTGGCCTGATCACTTGGAGGCTGCCAGCCAGAGCCAACTACACTCAGCCCAGCTTCACTCATGAAGCAGAATTTGCTCATCCAGCCTCAAGCTCCCTCAACTACAAAGCAGCCATTATTTTCAAAGCCACATTTACCCTTACGGACTCAAACAAAACTATCATATCAAAACTACGCAATATATGTCCTGGATGCAGGTACAATCTCAAATAACGGTTTTGTCGACGGGCTATGTCATAAAAGGTGGGCGACTACAGGGCCAGTCTTTTCAATTGGGGCAATAGCCCCAAAGATCTTGCCTCAAAGGGACCTGCTGACCTCTTTTATGTTCACTCAGTTATGAAGTCCTCAAGGTTCCCAGGAGATCAGGGATGCCTCTGGGTTTGTGAAAAGAGCATTCTCCACACCAGGAAACCACTGATGCAGCCACTCAGTATTCCAGCTCAGCAGAGCAGTGAAACTCATTTCCACGCCTGCCGCCAGTTCTGTTTTACACTCACACCTCATACGCTGGGATGTTTGTTTAGACAAAGCAGTAAGGGTCAGTAAGGCAGACAGACAAATTCTACGGAAGATGTCAACCCTACTTAGATTGCCAAAATGAACTTTTTTGTTCCTGTAGGTTTTCTAGGCACGTGATACCTCCAGTTATCCAGGGTCCCCCTCCCAGTGCTGAAGTGTTAACACTATTTGAATGGACTCTGGGTATGAGGGTTTGGCTACCAATCGGTATGTCTGCATTGTCTGTCTTAAGAGAATAGAATCTGCCTACCAGAGTGCTTGACTCCAGATGCCTGGGCAGAAACAAACCTGACTCAATAAATTAAATGTCTCTTTGAGCTCCTTGAAGCTCAGTAGCCCCAGGCATTGCTGGAAAAAACAAGCTTCACTTTAAAACCACACTCCTGCTTGCCGCTGGCTACTAAGGAAAAAAAATTTTCTTAAACCTCAATGTTGATCTAACTTTTGAAAAGTCTCATTGGAACTCAGTAATTAATTCCTGGAATGGCATGTCCTTAGCTGGAGAGGGTGGTCCCTACACAAGCTACTTTCTCCTGTTGAGGCATTCCAGTCTCATTATGCATGCTAGAATGCTCTCTCAGGACTGGAAGTCTTCTGGTCAATGCACTGAACTTTCAGATTTGGCGACCAAGAAAAAAAATTAAAAATAGTTTTAATGTCTCTTTCTTTCCTAATATGTTTATTCATAACCATCATGTTTCTACATGGTTGGAATCTTTTGGCAAACCAAGGATTAACATTACATATTAAGCAAGAGTGGTGCAATTTAAAGATTTCCATGTATACAGAGAGCAAGGCAAAAATTGTATACAATGCTCTTAAGCTTATATATGCATTTAAACGGAATTACAATTCCAGGTGCCTCTGGAAATACGTTAACTCTATAGTTGCTCTTATTTTGCTTTCTACATGAATCAGTAGTCTAAGAATTATTTTTCTAGGTTGGATTTCCCAACTAGTGGATGCAGATCTCAGCCTTGCTGGAGCACAAGAAGGTTGTCACTGTGCAGCTCTTTTTTCCAGCCTGCTGAGATGAACTCAGAAACAGCACTGTTACCAACTTTTCTCACACACACTAGAGATTTCAAAACTTTTGAAAAAGTATATTCATAGTCTCACTGCATAAAGCTCAGTGGCTCCTGCTAGGAATCATTTTGAAATGTGGAGTGCGATGATAGTATACTCTGTAGATAGATGCATGCTCTTGGTAGAATCATAGAATCTCAGGGTTTTAAGTGATTTTAGGAAGTCTCTTTGCTACCCGTCTGCTGTCAAATCACTTTCAAAGTCCCCGACCAGTAATCAAGCCACATGTGCTTTAGTCATCATCATCATTGCAGTTAACATTTATCAAAAACGTACTATGTAGCAGGTTACATGCTAAGCATTTTATATGCATTATCTCATTTAACCCTCACAAATTTCCTACAAAAATAGGAACTATTAATACCCCCAGTTTAGAACTGAAGGCATTAAGGCATGAAAAGGAAAAAAAAAACTTGCCTCAGATCACACAGCTTTTAAGAGGCAGAGATGACACTTGAACCCTGGTTGCCTAACTACAGCCTACTCTTTGTGCCACTTATAGACTAATGGCCAGCAATTTTTAAAAGCCTCTAAATTATACATTCTTTAGGTGCCAATAAGTTCCACAGGTGAACGTTAGCAGAGATGCTGGTGATAATGTGGCATAAAAGAGAAAGCCTGGCATTTCTTTCTCTTCCCTCCTTCATAGATGAACTTCACAGGTTTTCAGGTAGCCCTGATATAAATGTGCCATGCTTTGTATTTGCAGAAGGACAGTCTGCTGCACGTGGGCTGTGAGGAACCTGTAAGCAGCTATCTCAATGATTCTTCTGCATGTGGTAGGGACCGCAGAACCTAATCTTCTATAGCTTGTTTCAAGCCTATAAGCCTTCAGATGTCTGACTCAGTCAATTCCTAGAGGCAGGATTACTGGTCATCCCTAGTCCCACCCAACAAAGAGAATGAATTACAAAGTCAGATAAAGGACAGCTTGACATTAGGCCCCAGCAGATAGTAGGACTCACTTACCAACAAATGGAAACTGGTTTGGGAAGATGCCAAAGATGCCATTACTGTGCATTGTAAATAAAATGAAGAAATAAGTGGCTATGCTGCCCCAGATGAAGACATGATTAATGACAGTCCAGTAACTGGTATCCAAGGCTATCTGTGAATAAAGTGAAAGATAAAAGGGAGGTCTTTGAGGATTGAAAGAGCATTGTTTTACAACCTATGGAATGGGAGAAAATTTTTGCAACTGAAACTGACAAAAGCTTGATCTCCAGAATATATAAGCAGCTCATATGACTTAACAAGAAAAAAACAAACCACCCAATCCAAACATGGACAGAAGACCTAAACAAGCAATTCTCCAAGGAAGACATACAAATGATCGATAGGCACATGAAAAAATGCTCAATGTCACCAATTATCAGAGAAATGCAAATCAAAACTACAATGAGGTATCACCTCACACCAGTCAGAATGGCCATCATTCAAAAATCCACAAATGACAAATGCTGGAGAGGCTGTGGAGAAATGGGAACCCTCCTACACTGCTGGTGGGAATGCAGTTTGGTGCAGCCACTGTGGAAAACAGTATGGCGATTCCTCAAAAGACTAGGAATAGACTTACAATGTGACCCAGGAATCCCACTCCTGGCATATATCCAGAAGGAACCCTACTTCAAAATGACACCTGCACCCCAATGTTCATAGAAGCACTATTTACAATAGCCAGGACATGGAAACAGCCTAAATGTCCATCAACAGACGACTGGATAAAGAAGAGGTTGTATATTTATACAATGGAATACTATTCAGCCATAAAAACCGATAACATAATGCCATTTCCAGCAACGT